TACTTTTCCAGACTTGTGAGGCAAGTTGTTTTGATAACATTCAAAATTCCATATTTGCGTAATATGAAATAATATGCAATAGTAAGAAAATATCTGTAACTATTCAGATGTCAATGCTACAATTTAGTGGAATTTTGCAAAAAGCGATTTAAATATATTTTAGTTTTTAGTTTGTTTTTAATTCAAAGAGCAAAAACAGAAGCCCTATTGAGGGAATAGAACAGAACAATTTATCAATATCGCATTTTCATCTGATTTCTTTCCCAGCATCCAACAGGAGAGTTGACTGTCTGCTGGAGCAACCATGCCGATGAGACAGGAGCAGATGAAAGGACCTAGAGAGGACCAGTGCTCCCGGTTCTGCAGCTGTTCTTCAGTGGAAGTATGCCAAAGCCCAGGCTGACAGCACTCTGAAATAGTTACAAGCTTGATTCATTACCCGCAAATCATCAATCACGGGGCTTAAATGTTTTCCCCTTTAGCCCCCAACATCTGCAACCAAACCAGGAAAACAGTCGACAAATAATGGCCATGATTGCTCCAATTTCATCCTCGAAACAGGAAAATGGGATAGTAGTAAGTAATATGCATGCAGATTGGTTCAGGTATGGTTCTGCGGACTGTGGAGACATTGTAACCATTTCAAAGAAGAAAATATACAAAAATTGACAAAGCATTGCCATTTTTAAAGGTGCTCTATGTATACTTTTGTGATAGAGGATTTGCCACTTTTTAGAAGATGTTTTTGCTCAGTCTGCAATGTTCCACAATATAGCATTAAACTCATCTATCTTCTATCATGTGAGACAACCAGGACATGTCTCCAGGTTATAGGTCAGATCTGTAAGTCAGAGTGCAGGACTTTCAAGGTATTTATGATAAACGTAATCATGCATTTAAGATTAAAATATTGTTATTTTTATATTGTGGAACATACCAGGCAAAGCAATAGTGTCTTCATGGAGACCAGCACTAGAAAAATTACATAGTGCACCTTTAAAGACATATGTTGCAATAAAAATGGTAAGAATGAGTATGTGTGTTATGAGCTTGTTCTAATTTTATATGCCCCTCCTTTTTCATGTGTAAAGGATGGTTTCCCTTGGATGCTGTGCTTTGGCTCATGTACCAGTCGTGCTGAGTTCACTTAGTGGAGGAATTTGGAGCACTCAGCATATCAGAGGGCACACATAAACATGTACACTGTGATAGGTGCTTCCTCTTGTTAATTGGGGAACACTCTAATAATGGCCTATAAAACAGAGAGGGGTTTCTCATAAGTCTCACAAACAGCAAAACAACTCTGCCTGGAAGTATGACTCACGTTGTTCTAAGTGTTAATAACGGGACAGTTGCCCAGTGCACCCCACCTCTTCCGTGCATCCTATTGGCTCATATACAAAGCCAGATTCATGCAAATGGAGGAGCCTACTGCCAACCTGCAGCTTTTGAATAACATTACCTCCTTAAACACTTCTCTTTAGAAAGCCAATTCCTCCAGGCTTTGAAACCATTAACAATAAAAGAGCAAGAAGAATCCACTCAAGAGCAGAGAGGCAAAAACTGTGAGATCTGGAGTGGTATTGTAAAGACAAGGCCTGCATTGAGCATCAGTGATTGTTTTAAAAGTAATAACTGAGAACAAGCTGTTGACTTTAAAGTGTTGAAACCCAATTTATCATTGTTTAAAAGTCACCGCACCTAGCCCAGTCTCAAAATAAGAACTATTGTTTTACTTTTTGCATATGATTTAAATAAACATGATTTCTTCTCCTTCTACCCTGGGGTATTGAAGGTCACATATTATGCATTCTTGTGGCTTTAATTCCCTTACATGATTTTAATGTCTACATTTGGAAAACATAGTTTATAAACTACACCTCTGTTTCTGATGAGGCATGTAGGCGTTAGAGCTCTCTCTACTGTCAGCCACAGGAACGAACAATGAGAAAATAAACAAATTAAATGCTTAGGCAACGGGAATGCTATGCTAATTGAGCCATGTGTTAGTTGTATACGACCACAGAACGAGTACAATAATGGTTTATAGACTTAAAACTGCGCAGAAGATGTCAAAATTCTTAGCTGTGACGCAACAATCTGGTCAAAATCTAAAAGGAGCATTTTTGAGTGCTCAGAGAAGACAACTGTGGATTAATGAAACAATACAATTCCAGGTATGCATTTGTTGATGGAACAAGGTTAAAAACATTGTCTTAAAAAGTGAAATATGTGTCTTTTATGTAAACACAATTATGATTAATCCTTTAACACTTTGCAAAACTCAAAATTCAGGCTGGAGACATTGGGTCAGTAAAGCCAGCCACACTATCATTGCAAGCCCTCAAAACTGTCAAAATACAGACACAGCAGACCAAAAACTACAAAGCACAAAAGCAACATCTGCGAGACAAGACTTTTATTCAGTCAGAGGTGGGTGTCATTTCCAGAGACAATAAAAAAAAAAACATCAGGGAGCCGAGCTGAGAAGGCAAAAACATGTGCAGAAAAACTACACTGTCCTCTGTCGTTAAAATGGATTCATCATTTGTGTTTATAAACTTTGGCGTTGACGTGGTGATGGTCAAAGTCATCAGTTACTTGAACGGTAGTTAAGGGCCACGCGAGATGAATAAACACAGGAGCTAATGGTTTTCACAGTCGTTAGCTTGACAAGACAAGTTGACAACATGAAATGGCCCTAAAATAGAAAGCAAACAAGGTCAAGTATAAGGATGTCAGTCACAAGCCGTTCTGAGCGTAAACTGTTGTTACAGTTGTGAAAGTAAAATGTGTGAAGGCAGTCAAATAAATCACTGCTTGTTTTATTTGTTTAGGCCTAACCAAATGTATATATGGTGATTACAATGGGCTAAAAGCACAAATGACTGTCATACATCACAAACGATGACATGTCTGTTTATTACCACCATAAACTTAAGATGGCTTTACCAGGTGTCCTGCGGTCTAACCTCAGCAGTGCAGCTATTTTCATTATTTCCTGAACAGGGATATTCAAGGTTACTCTTCAGTTTGAGAGATACCTATTTAAATTTATTGTAAAGTCAAATGCTATATGCTATACTACTGTCCCCATAGAGAAATTTGTCTTCTGCATTTGACCCATCACTCATTTTCATGATCTTGCTGCTAGACTTGGTCAGGACTACCTTAGCTGGCGGATTTTTACCCATGATACATATTTTGGCAAGCATTGTAGCTAATAAAAGGGGGTTTATTCAGTGTGTTTTAGAGATGCATGTCAATTTGTGTGCCAGCAACAGAGAGAAAGTGAAAAATCTCCTGTATGAAACCATGACAACTTTAGGGTACCTACCAGAGAAGCAGTCCTGGCCCAGTACGGGTGAGCGTGTGTCTTTGCCATTGAAGAGGTGCTGAGAGGGGGTGGAGTTCTGGAGGTGGTGCTGAGAGGGGGTGGAGTTCTGGAGGTGGTGCTGAGAGGGGGCAGGGCTCTGGAGGTGATGCTGAGAGGGGGTGGGGCTCTGGAGGTGGTGCATGGACAAACAGTCACTCAGAACGTCCTGCTCCAGGTGAGGACACGACCGCAGCTGTCAACAACATTTAACACAATAAAAACTACAACAAAGAGCCTGTGTTCATTCATCAGATACAGCTGCACTGCCCTCTGAGGCAACAAAAGAATACAACAGTGTTTCAGCCAGGAGCGAGTGTGTATTTTTGTTTTCCTCATTGGCCATAACATGATTGTAATGTTAATATGAAACAGTATCTCTGTAAATCAGAATTCATTAGCATTCAGAAGGAACCAGGGACAGAGTAATTCACTCATTTTTGAGTCATGTTTTGGCCTGGACATAAGAGATCCATAATAACTGTACCAACTCAGAGCCATGGGAAAATGTTGTTTTCTCAGACCAAACAGTAATAACTATAGAAGTTCAAAGATAAACACCATGCATCAAATACAGCATTAGTGATAAAAATGTGATATTGATGAGGGAAGAGCAGCACATGTTAAAACAGGACAACACTTTGGGAACATATCATAATCTGAATGAACACATAGGTGCTGGTGGTTACACTGTGCCTGATTTAGACCAGTTACAAAACAAGGAGTGTGCTCCAATGTTTGCGATGATTTGATAAGCCTCAGAATATTTATTCTAACTTTGAACCAACCATCTATTTATGATTATGGATAAAAACATATTCAAATATTCCAAACTGTTCCATGAAATGGATTTCTGACTGTCATTTTGTGGTTGGAAAATAGTCTGTTTCAAATTCTGCTTATTTTAAGTGCTTACAGAAAAAAATACATTTTTGTGCATAACTTTTTAAAGGGCTGAGACTGTTCAAACGCTGAAATGACTGAGGAGGTATGCGTAGGACTGCGGTTCACAGCTGGCATAATGTACAATATTATTTAACAGTGAAGTGTGTATAGGCCTGTGTCCTCAGAGTGCACTGCTACATTCATCACATGTAATTGGGGCCCTGCTTTTCCCCACAGCAACACTCTAACAGTTTTCTCTGCTCCAAGAGTGGAGCAAGAGCGTTTGTTTGACATTTGTCCATAACATCTGGCCACTGGAGCATTGTGCATTACAGCTTATTAACAATGCTACACATGTTTCCCTTTACCGCCGAGAGCTCAGGAACACATCATGCAGCGTGCCACTATCCAGCCCCTTCCACAACAATGAGTCCATTCTCTTATATTTACTCTGCTCAGTCAAGACAGAGAAAGCTGTTGACCAAGAACATACTGTAATGTGGTCACACCAAATCTATCACTGCTTTCAGTTTTCAAACTCACCACACCTAACCCGCAACTTCCTCAAGTTTTAATAAAATCTTTCTTTTCTTTTTGGGGGTTGGTGGGTTCAGTAATGTAATTGTTTGAATGTAAAAATACAAAAAAGCGTGTTAATTACTTGTCTCCATGGAGACAAGCAATTAGCGGATCCTCCAACACAGAAGTTACAGAGTGTGCCATTAAGTTTATAACACACAACAAATTAACTATAGTTGGTAACCACATATTTACAAAAGATAAAGGAGACAATTCATTACTGAATGTACAGTATCAAAAAGTGCAGTTATCTATAAATACGTGGTTACATTAGAGATAAAATACCCATGTGTCATTAATAATATTATTATTACTTTATTAGATAATTGAGGACGAATGAGTTTCTTATCTTACCTTCCTACGCACCTGCTGCTCTTTGGCTGAGTGGATCTTCACATGTTTACGTAAAGAGCTGGGGTCTGTGTAGCGCTTGGTGCAGCCAGGGATCTGACAGGCATACGGCTTCTGCAAGGAGGAACAAAAAACATACATTTATTTACTGAAAAATCACATTATGTATGGTATGTGAAACTAGATGAAGACAGGATAAAAAAAATCTGTCACAGAGTATAGAATTTTTTAAAGTAAGATTTGTTTAAGTCCTACCTTTGAGCTGAGGAAGGGAGAGAAAATGAAGCAGAAGATAAGACAAGAAAAAGAGAAGATTAAAAGAAAGTTAAAATTGAAGTCATAAGCATTACATTTATGTTATATGATTTCTGTTTACAATTGGCCCATAGATTTTATTGGACCAGACAGTAAATAGTGGTAAATTGACTCAAACCTTCAATGTGCCCTAGGGTTGCACAATATTTATCACAACTGAATCAAAACCGCATTTTGAGTTGGTGCAATTATCAAATCTCAAAGGCAGTTATTTGGATAAAGGAATGATCTCTGCAAAGAACAAAACATCCAGTCTTTTTTTTTTTTTTAAGAAAATAAACATTTAGATATCCACAAAAACGTTCTGAAATTCATGGGTTTCTTGCATTAGTTTATCAGCTCATATTCCAGTCTTCTCTAAAATGTTGATGCTCCTGGAATTATTTACAATCTTCACTCTGAACAGAATCCTTCTTTTTAAATAAGAAGTGCAAATCTAGTCGCAAACCCAATATTTGTTATAAAAATTTAAATTCCATGTTCCTTTTTCAAAATTCTGCAGCTCTAATTTGCATCAACCATGTGACAATAAAGTGTTGCTATTTAAAGTAGTGAGTGCAGTTACATGCCCAAACTACTAATTTAATATAATGTGGATTAAAGGATAAATGTCACCTTCCTCATCATTACTGCACAAGAAATGCAGCATGTAGCTCCTGACTGAGGACTTTTACTCAAACAACCTTTTCATTTTTGGTAAATACGCATTTGCCATTAAAGTGTAAAATGATATGCGTCGTTGTTAGCTTTCCCTCCAAACCTCAGTCTCCTCTGTAAATAAAGCATTGTTATTCCAACCAGCTCAGTGCACCACTCGTGCCCGCCATGTTTTCTTTGTCAGCCATTGCGCCCAACACAGGCACAACCACGACTTCTGTGTAGAATAAATATCATTAAAGGAAGTGTTTTGGCAGAGCAGAGAGGAGGCCAGACACACTCAGGGTTTAGACAGTGTTAATGTGAAGTTTTTAGGGTTGGATCGCGGATTAGCTGCATCATTTGTCCAACTGTGGAAAGTGGGAGGTACAAAAAAAAAAGTTTGTTTTAAACAAACACAAACAACTATTCCAAAGATTTATTTGGTGCTTGATTAACACAGTCTGTCTCTTATTTCAGTTATATATATTCATTCTATTAGGTTAGGGTGATTTTAAGATGATATTCAGCTCTAGTAAGATATTGGATAGGGCAAAAATCACCCTTTCTATAAATATATCAGTTTTAGCTGATTTACCAATCACACCACTTTAATAAATACTGTAATACAACTTTGATGGGTATACATAAATTGATAACACACATTATAACTAAGTATTGTTTAAAATATGTAATATTTTTCTCAATCACCCGACAAAGCTATAATGTTAATTTTTATCTGTGGACTTCATTTAGAAATAATCTGAAGTGGATTGTGATGAGTGGCAGAGATGGCTGACTCAGTCTTTCCTCTGCAGGTCAGAAACAGGCAGCGCTCTGTCCGACCCGCTGTCCGTCTCTGTGTCGGGCCTGAACCCAAAAAGTGATGCTTTTATGACCTGTGCTGCATCAAGGCCAAAGCAGAGCGTGCTCACTGACAGACTGACACTGTCAAGAAGTGGAAACAGGCCTGAAGACTTGGAGCCAAAGGGAGTGTTATAACAGCCCATTTAGCCTGGACCCAAATTATACATTTTACAATGTACAATTTGTTAAAAAATGAATGAGAATAAATCAATATCTAGGTTATTCCATTACCATTATTCTTCTGTATTTTCAGCCACTGTTAAAAAAGGTCTGAGTCAGCACATGACACACACAGACCACCCAGAGAAGAGCTCCTTCAGAGCAGTCTACAGTCTGAAAAGAGAGAGGAAAGAAGAGAGAGGAGAGGGAGAAGAGAGAGGAGAGAGAAGAGAGAAGAAATGTTAGAGAGGAGAGGGCAGAGAGGAGAGAGGAGAGAGGAGAAGGGAGAGAGAGGAGAGAGGATAGGAGAGAGGAGAGTGTCTGACCGTGTCCAGGTGAGTGCGTTGGTGTTTGGCGCGGTCGCTGGAGTTGCTGAAGGCTTTCTGGCAGCCTGGGTGCTGGCACAGGTACGGCTTCTCTCCAGTATGGCTCCTCAGGTGGATCTTCAGATTCTCCAGTCTGGAGAATGCCTTGTTACAGCCTTCAAACTATAGGCAAAAGGACATATATACAGTCAGATCACAAGCCAGAAGGAATGAATGGAAAGTGAAGGTACATATGTACAATATCTTATATTATGAATTAATATTTACAAAGACTTAAGCAACTAAACTACTTTTACTTATTCAATGAGAATGATAAATTTAATGCAAAATATCCAATGCATTTACATCTGTCAGGTTGTCAGTATTGAAATTGCAGGGAAACTGGAGTGAGGCACAGTGGAACTAAATAGTTGTAACACAAAGCATCATTTAAGTGTTGTGTGGTGTGCTGGACTGACAAGTGACAGTCAGTGTAAACATGGCCCTGTCCATGCCGCAAAGAACCATCTGATCCCAAGCACTCAGCCAATGAGCACCACAGATTTGTTAACATGTGAATAATAAATGATGCCTCTCGCATATCCACTTCTGCACTTCTGCAGAAAATGCAGCTGATTTGTGGACGACGTGGACCTCCTGCAGAGCTGCTGTGTAAGGAGTCACTAAATGTATTGGTTTAGACCAGACTAATGTCACAGCACTAAAACTAACAGCAAACCTGATGCAATGGTATTTGTAATCACTCTATTCAGATTACACCAACTGCAGCACAAAATGTTAAGTTTAAATAAATAATCTGAAGGACTACAAATAACGTATTGATAGTAATGTCTTTATCAGAATACACCATGAAATCACTATATGTCCAATTTATCATTCATCCTCTTTAGGAGTGGTTTACACTCAGTACTTGGACTCTCTGCTGTTGAACTGTACTGGTAAAGCAGATGACAGTGCTGTAATAAACTCTGTCCACAAAGGGTCCCATCACATCCAGAGCCTATTGTCCGGTGACCTTTAGTGCGGGCTGCAGGGGGTCAGGTTACGACGAAGGAGAGAGTGACACCATTCTTCTAATGGGCCTTCAGCTTCACCTGCTCTCACTGATCATCAGCTCATCCTCCTTCATTGACTCACAGCGCAGCCCGGCCTCTATTCACTGTGGCTCCATTTAATATAGAGGAAACCTAAGCCTGTCATGGTAGCGCCGTGTTCTGTGACCAGGCCTCTGTCTGTGAGAGTCTTAATGTGAACAATTATAGGAGAGCACACAGGGCCTGCAGCAGCTTAAACATGTGTATTACAGAGCAGCACTGCACAATGTAAAGCCTGTAAACACATGTACACTGAGCATTGATACTTACATAGCATTTAACATATAAACTATATATAAATATGTATTTTGATTGAAAGAGGCCTAGGGAATGACTCATAATAGCATTAGTATTGTCTCAAATTAAAAGGAATATGTGTGGATCTAAAAAAGTGTAGTGAAGTGTAGCAAAGCCCTACTCTACTTGCACAATGTGGTATCTCATTTTATTATCACATTTATTACTATTACTTTGACTCCATTTGTATTTTAACCATAGTATATTTTATTTTTCTAGTTAAATGGTTGCACTATGTAATACTTCTGTTTGAGAGGTTGTTGTTGAATTTGTTAAATAAATTGTGTTTTTATTGAAACACAACAGTCTGCATTCGGCTTGAGAGGGGTCACCTCTCCACAGATCTGACCCATAACATTGTCTGATGGCACACGTTATTCTTGGAGGAAAGCAATGGCTATGCACCAAGCAAGTATTTATTAACATTATTGCACTCAATGGAGGATTTGTCATTTGTCTAGGAGCTGTGAAAACACACAATGAATCCGAGTGTAGGAATGTGTAGTCAGAAAAAACACATCCAACCTTCCATCAATAGACAAACCTTTACTGTGTGGCTTCTGCACTCAGTCATGGAAAACAACCTAAAAACTCACACCATGTTATACTGCGGAAATATAATTTTAGTGAGCACCGCCAATTAAATCATAGTTTGCATTGAAATGAGAGGAACTTCGATGGTGGGAAAGCATAATAAAAAATCTGAGAAGAGGAGATTGCACACTGACCACTCAAAACAAACACAACTATTATGGATTTTTATTTAGTAGTACGTCCCTGTAGTGTAACTGGACAAATGCTCTTTCACTCCCTCCACTTTTTGCAATACAAATTTGATGTGAAATTACACTAAGGGGTCCACAGAGAGAACTGTGTTAATCGTGTAAAGCACATTATTACATTGGACCTGAACTGAAGTATGAGGTTTTTCTGCTCACTGAAAAACCAATAGGCAATGCCATCTAGAGACATGGACATTAACCAGAGGCCTGCTTGAAAAATCTTATGCTACAGAAGGATATTATAGCACAGCCAAGTTTGTGGTCCAAATGACATCTTCTTGGGAGTTCATTTCTTTTCAAAAACACATTTCAACACTTCATTTTAGTTTTGTTAGTGTGTGGTTCGTTCACTATTGTGTGTGTAGTCTGAACTGAATCCTGAGATGTTACTTTAGATTAGGCCTGTCACGATAATTACTATAAAAACTTATCGCTCAATGTGTGACATATAGAACAATCATTTTTGGGTGTAAAAATTTATCGTGGGGACTTTTTTTTTTTTGCACTGGTGCGAAAAATGTTGTTATTTTTCTATACTACAATTAGATTTGAGCTGCTGAAAGTTGAATTATGAATTTTTATGACTCATTATACATACAAACTAACTACATAAGTGTTGTATTCTATGATTTATTATTGCAGATAATCATTTTAAATAATATTATATGTTTGGAATAATTCCTTTTTAGGGTTTGGTTTCAGTATTATCGTTTATTGTCTATATTTACTTCAGCAATATATCGAACCTCAAAATTTGTTACGGTGCCTACTATTGATTTAATCTCTTTTTTATGATTGCATTATACATACATCTTGCAAGTACCAATAAAAACCTGCAGGCTCAGGCAGAACCTGCAAAGTCTGCACAGGTCCTTACTGAACTAACCCAGGACCCTCTCACTGTGAGGTGAGAGCCCTAACTCAACACACTGCAGTGACACCATATTAACAGCCAATCAGAAGTAAGTAAAATGTGTGTGACTGCTAAAATGTACTTTACATGACTGCAAACATACTGACTACCTCTGTAAAACTAATAATTCTGGGACAAACTGATAACTGTAGTGGGTCTGTTAACTCACAGGCCTGATCCTGTCTCTGATATTATCTCTGAAAACAGTTTAGACAGCACTAATCACATGGATTACTTTAAACATGTTTAGTTTTCCTCTCATTGAAAGGTAAACCTGCATAGCGCTGACACTCCCCCAGTCTTAAGAGGAGGGGTCAGAGCTCAGTAAACACATAGGATCACCGCAGGCCTCACATTGCTGAAGTCTCCATCAATGATCAGTGCAGACAGATAGATTTATTAGGTCCACAGTGAACAGCACAGAGGAGAGCTGAAGAGGAGAGGAGCTATGGGAAATGACTCCTGACTGGCAGCAAAGGCCCAACAGTGTAGCAGTGTGTGTTTCTCCTCTCTACAGCACCACACAGCCTGCAGGAGCTGAGGCAAACCAACCATGACCACACTTAGAGAGAGGGAATTACAGTTATCAATACATCATACATCTAGTTCAGTACAGACAATATCATTTAAGGTTAATATTTTCTCAAAGGATTGAGTGCCCCAGGTCCACAATAAAAAGTCAATGTTTTTTTTGTTTTGTTTTTTTTTTTGTTTTTTTAACATATATCTGTATATCATTATTTGGTCCTGTGCAGTAATGTATATAGAGGTTAGTGTAATAAGAGTGAGACAAGACTCAGCAGTTAACTTCATGTCAAGAGGGACTTCACAAAAACGAGTTGTCTGGTGGTTTTCTGTTGAGATTTGTTTTACCAAATACATCCAGACTCTGTCACTGCCAAGTCTAACAGACATGACGAAGAGTGAGGTTTTAGTGGCAAATAAAAACATGTCGAATGAAGTGGCAACACTGAAAAGCAGCTTGTATAACTTTATACGTTTATAAAAGGTCTTGAGTTGGTTTATCACACGGTGTCCCTCTCTGCTCTGACCAATGAGGAAAACCACCAACACTTCAGTAACTGAGCTGAGTAGAGCTGCGGATGGAGCCACATGTGCCTTTAATCTGCCTGCCTCCAAATGCCCTGTGGCAACCACAGCAAAGAGCCCAAACCTAAATGGATGAAATTATATCCATATGATTCAAGCAGACAGCTACAGAGAGACAGGTTTCTCATGCGCTTTGTCAGGATACAAAATTAAACACAGCTTGGCTCAAACATTCACATTACATAGTTTACACATATCATTTCCACTGTGGAGTGAAACGCTCTTCACAGCCAAACTCATCTGTCAGGAGCAGGCCTCCATTTGAGTCAGATACAGTGTTGATATTAGAGGGGGCAGGGAGGAATTCACACCCAATCCATCCCGATTCCCAGAAGAATCTCAGTTTCATCAACTTTGAAGTTTACTTCATTTTTACAAAGGTCTTATTTTTGCCAGTAATTTATAAAGACATCAGCAACTAGAGTGGTCCAGATGTCCATGTTGTTCAGATGCACATGAACTAGCTGCAGAGCAACAGGTCGGCCAATAAATAGTTGGGAGGAAGTACTCATGTAAATGACTAAAGAAATGGATGCGGCAGTAGTTTAGGCCCAGATTGAAAAGTGTGGATGGTACAACAGGAAGCAGAGCTATGATGACTAAATGAGGCTCTATAATGAGCATGCCCAGCTGCTGCTCTGGAGATGGAGGAGGCCTGGCACACTGGAGCTCCGAGAACAACGGCACAGTCAGGAGCTACATGGAAGCACTTAACCTGCTCCAGTCAAATGTCAGGCAGCCTGCATCACATTAAAGAGCTAAGATGTGATTTCCTCTGGCTGAGCCTGCCCAGGTTTACACCAGGATGAGGGGGGCAAAACAGGGTCACGTTCACAGAGAGGTGGGTCATCATGACAAAAAAAAGGGTTTGTCTGGTTACAGGTAATTATTGTCACGGCCAGGGCACTTTAATTAAGTCATCAGTTACAATTACAAAAATTACATTTATTATTATTATTATGTCTT